TAACGTGGTTAACCAACACCAAGGGACTCTGTATGTTGATAATCGATGCCAAAGGACGTTTAACGTGGTCAACCAACACCAAGGGACTCTGTATGTTGATAATCGATGCCAAAGAACATTTGATGTGGTCAACCAACGACAAGGGACGCTGTATGTTGATAAACGATGTCAAGGGACGCTTAATGTTGATAATCGATGCCAAAGGATGTTTAACGTGGTTAACCAACACCAAGGGACTCTGTATGTTGATAATCGATGCCAAAGAACATTTAATGTGGTCAACCAACACCAAGGGACGCTGTATGTTGATAATCGATGCCAAAGAACATTTGATATGGTCAACCAACAACAAGGGACGCTGTATGTTGATAATTGATTTCAAGGGACGCTGAATGTTGATAATCGATGCCAAAGGACGTTTAACGTGGTCAACCAACACCAAGGGACTCTGTATGTTGATAAGTCGATGCCAAAGAACATTTAATGTGGTCACCCAACACCAAGGGACTCTGTATGTTGATAATCGATGCCAAAGAACATTTGATGTGGTCAACCAACAACAAGGGACGCTGTATGTTGATAAACGATGTCAAGGGACGCTGCAAAGATATGCATTCGCTGATTGTTCTACGTTCACTTCAATGGTTGCGCACGATTCATTTTATGCAGAATGATCAATTACTATTTACAAACAGCCTAAAACATAGATAGAAAATTTCATGAATTTCGTTACAAAATGTAAAATATCAAGTTATTTAACTTTGATGGTTTTGAATCCTTTTTAATTCCCCATATAATAACCTAAATTAAGTGTTAAATGTTATATACACATTTCCATTATAAAAAGTCTATCCGTATATTTCTGGTTTACTGATCCATTATAAAAAGTCTATCCGTATATTTTTGGTTTACTGATCCATTATAAAAAGTCTATCCGTATATTTTTTGTTAACTGATCCATTATAAAAAGTCTATCCGTATATTTCTGGTTTACTGATCCATTATAAAAAGTCTATCCGTATATTTTGGTTAACTGATCCATTATAAAAAGTCTATCCGTATATTTTTGGTTTACTGATCCATTATAAAAAGTCTGTCCGTATATTTTTGGTTTACTGATTCATTATAAAAAGTCTATCCGTATATTTCTGGTTTACTGATCCATTATAAAAAGTCTATCCGTATATTTTTGGTTAACTGATCCATTATAAAAAGTCTATCCGTATATTTCTGGTTTACTGATCCATTATAAAAAGTCTATCCGTATATTTTTGGTTTACTGATCCAAGCAGCGCTGATGATCCTTGCACAGAAGAAACTGCAGTCCACAGCTGAGAGTACGATGAATCAAGGAATATATTACTCCTTTACGTCACGGATTATATTTGATCTTTGGTTGTAATTAAATTTAATTTGTAACATGATCATCAAGTTAATTAATGTTTTGATTTCTATATTTAAATCATGAACATAGTTGTCAAAAAGATTTGTATAAATCCTACAGCACAATAGTTGTGAAGTCAGCTTTTCCCAAGTTTCTGGTGGTTGTTTTGTTGTGAAGACAGCCGTTCCCATGTTTCTGGTGATTGTTTTGTTGTGAAGTCAGCTGTTCCCAAGTTTCTGGTGAATGTTTTGTTGTGAAGTCAGCCGTTCCCAAGTTTCTGGTGATTGTTTTGTTGTGAAGTCAGCCGTTCCCAAGTTTCTGGTTCACGGTCCGCGGATATAATACAACTGGCTTCGTCTTTGGTACAGACATAATATTTTTTTCAAAGTGAAGTGGAAATAACTTACTTGGGCCTCGAAGATCATAGTTGTTATACATGTTTTATATAGAGGGTTGGGTGCCATAGCGTGGATCGTATACATACGACCCTTGGTGTGGGCTGATTACGAAAATTTCCCTTTTGTCGACTGACTACGTGCAGTGTCCCTCGATATCAACTAATTACTTACAGCGTCCTTTGATGTCTGCTGTCAAAGTACAAGTCCATTGGCATCAATTTTCAACATATAGCGTCTCTTAGCATCGATTAATAACATACAGCGTCCCTTGGTGTTGGTTGACCACATTGAACGTCCGTTGACATCGATTATCAACATTCAGCCTCCCTTGGTGTTGGTTGACCACATTGAACGTCCCTTGGCATCGATTAATAACATATAGCCTCCCTTGGTGTTGGTTGACCACATTGAACGTCCGTTGACATCGATTATCAACATTCACAGCGTGGTTGGCAGAGCACAGGTAGCCCATTGTGTAGCTTTGTGCTTCACTTCAGACTTACGTATTTTTTTAAGAAATAAATAATTTTTCAAAAAAGAAACTTGTTTTTGAATATATATTTTCTCTTTTTTAAAGCTACACTTGTACATATATAAAGCGGAATTGTTACTGAAAGGATTACTTTAAATGAAACGAACCCTTGTACACATAAGTATCGTGGATCATTTCGACCGGTCAGTAGGGTGAGCAGTAAGTTTATGAATTCGCAAGAAACGCGTAAGACTTGAAAGGAACACTGTTAATAATGGAACATCAATAAACCTACAGTCGGAGAACATTATGCGCGTATTAAATTGTTATAGATTTTTCGACTAAAGACCGCACGCTTAAATGTCGTCATTGCAAGATCTATACTATATAATCTTACAGTATTTTGATCCCACCTCCTCTCAATGGCTCAGCAGTAAGTCTGTGGACTTAGTGTTATAAATTAGGCTTCGGACATAGCAGTCAGTCAAGTCTCCGAAGCAGCCCCTATGGATTTCTGTGTGATCAGACTGTTGACACAGACTCTGGGAAACCGATGTTCTTATACACTAAATTGATTATAAAAAGCTGCAGAGGAGATATGTGTGCTTTAAAGCTTTAAACACGACATCCTTACAACAAATCGTTTTGCAACAGAAATTACGCTGCAGGACTACTGTCAAGATGCGCGGTAGTCAGATAGAGCATGGCCAGAACACTGTGCCATGGACTGTAACGACGTGGAAAGGCTTCATTATCGTTTTAATTTAACGAACTTAACCTCATTATGACCAACCAATAAATTAAATTTTTAAAGCAAAACTGTTTCTGTTTTGTTTTTAAAGAAAGTTGACCAGCGACCGGTCTATATATTTTAACTGTTTTTGTTTTTTAAAGAAAGTTGACCAGCGACTGGTTTACGTGTTTTAACTGTTTGGGTTTTGTTTTTAAAGAAAGTTGCCCAGCGACCGGTTTACGTGTTTTAACTGTTTTTAAAGAAAGTTGATCAGTGAGTGGACTATAGATTTTAACTGTTTTTGTTTTTAAAGAAAGTTAATCAGTGACTGGTTCATAGGTTTTAACTGTTTTGTTTTTAAAGAAAGTTGCCCAGCGACCGGTCTATATATTTTAACTGTTTTTGTTTTTTAAAGAAAGTTGACCAGCGACTGGTTTACGTGTTTTAACTGCTTTTAAAGAAAGTTGATCAGTGAGTGGACTATAGATTTTAACTGTTTTTGTTTTTAAAGAAAGTTAATCAGTGACTGGTTCATAGGTTTTAACTGTTTTTGTTTTTAAAGCAAGTTGACCAGTGACTGGTTTATACGTTTTAACAGCGACTGGGTGATATATCTTCACCATTTTTTGTTTTTTAATGAAAGTTGACCAGTGAGTGGTTTATAGGTTTTTAACTGGTTATATTTTGTTTTTAAGAAAGTTGACGAGTGACTGTTATATATATATGTTTTAACTGTTTTTATTTTGTTTCTAAAGAAAGTTGACCAGTGATTGGTTTATATGTTTTTAACTGGTTGTATTTTGTTTCTAATGAAAGTTGACGAGTGAGTGGTTTGTAGGTTTTAACTGGTTTTATTTTGTTTTTAAAGAAAGTTGATCAGCGACTGGTTTATAGGTTTCAGCCTAAAATGAAATGGTAATCTCATAAGTCCTTATAGTCGGAGACAAACATACAATCTAAATAATTTACAATGTTTTAACATACAAATTATGTTTTTAAATAAATCGCTGGTTCGGCTAATGTAATCTTCGTTTATCGTGTACAAATTTGGCTTAATCCATATCCGGAAAATTATTGACCGGGTTTCTATTTTAAGCATTTATAGGCTCTTGTGACTTCTAGTTGTTTTTGCAATGTATTCGAATATCCAAACATTATATTTAATGTTGCAGGACAGAAAGACATTCAAAATATTGACGGTTTTATATCCAACTGTTGTTACTACAGATCTACACGTTAAGAATGTTAATAGATGTCAATCTGGTATTATCAATGGTTTACACATAAAGAATTTTAGTGGTCTGATGTCCATCTGGTATCGTCATAGGCCTACACATTAAGAGTCTTAGTGATATGACGTCAATCTGGTATCCTCATAGGTCTACACATTAAGAGCCACAGTGGTTTGATGGCTATATAGTATCCCCATAGGTCTACACATTAAGAATCTTAGTGGTTTGATATCTATCTGGTATTCTCATAGGTCTACACATTAAGAGTCACAGTGGTTTGATGGCTATATAGTATCCCCATAGGTCTACACATTAAGAATCTTAGTGGTTTGATATCTATCTGGTATCGTCATAGGCCTACACATTAAGAGTCTTAGTGATATGACGTCAATCTGGTATCTTCATAGGTCTACACATTAAGAATCACAGTGGTTTGATTGCTATATGGTATCCCCATTGGTCTACATATTAAGAATCTTAATTATGTGATGTCCAGCTGTTATCCTCACAGATTTACACATTAAGAGTCACATTACTTTGATGGCTATATGGTATCCCGATTGGTCTACACTTTAAGAATCGTGAATGTTTGATGTCCATCGTTGTCGCCATAGTTAGTTGGTTGTAACAAGGGTGAACGCCAGCTAACTCAAAGTATGTTCCTCTAGATGACATCATTGAAAAAGAGAGTATGTCCCTCTAGATGACGTATTGAAAAAGTAAGGATGTTCCTCTAGATGACATCATTGAAAGTATAAGTATGTTCCTTTAGATGGCATCATTGAAAAAGTATGTATGTTCTTCTAGAAGACATCATTGAAAAAGTAGTCAATATGTTTTTTCTTCAGTCGTGATTTAAGTAATAGTTTGTGTGTGTGTGTGTGTGTCTAATGAAATAATGAACGTGAATTACTTTCGTCCAGTATAAAATTGAAGTGTGACATAAACAGTATTTAAGTCCACGTTGATTGATGCTAGGCTTAGTTAATCGAATATTACTGTTTAGTATATTAATTTGTTATATAAGTACTTCAAAATCAGTATCTAAACAAAGTAGACAAAAGAAATGCTACCAAACATTTTTGAGTTAGAACATAAATAGAATAGAAATAAAGAAAACCACTAGAGCAAACATCACTGTACTTCGTTACTAAGAGCTGAGACCATCCAAGAGTACCAACCAATCACAAATATGATCTGTTGAACTGTCCAGTGTCCTTGACACACTTTATCGGGGCAGGGTTATTTCTTCCAAGAGTAAATAGCTAACGACATTTAGTCTCTGTTCACTATAAAACCTGACCACAACATCAGAAATCGTCAGTTTACTCCAAGTCTGCATCAAGTTCAGAGTTTTGTTTCCTAAGGTAGGTAAGATGTTTCTTTTCTTCTACTCTGATCAATTTCCCTCTACCAAGTTAACCCTCTGTGTAAGAGAAACCTTCAGTGACCACATATCTCTGTTCCTGTCCCTTGTTTTCGCTTATAGAGCTGGAAGTGTCGCGAGCGTGATCTATACCTGACTTTGAATACTACGACCTGACATGGTTAACTGCCCGGATCAATGAGCCAATTTTTCTCAGTATTGGTAATGTTTAAAAGTTAATTTATTTTTGTCATTGTCATATGTATTAGTTCCTAAATTGTATTAATTGTTACAGCACAAGGTGCTGGGGGTAACGGAAATTTTTAAATAGGTTTTAGGTAGGAATGAGTAAATATTGTTGCCCACAGAAACATGGACAAACAATTAATTTAAATATTGCCTGGAAGCTCCCACACAGTTTCCTCAGAATGGCAAATTCTAGTTTTCTTTGAATGTCTTATGATTAGGGTTAGCTAGAGCAGATTGATCAAGTCTTATTACTGACAGTCAGTTTTTCTACAGTTATAGACTGTTCTAAAGTAAAAACAAAACTCATTTTGTTCGTTTCTGATGTTTGGAAATAGTTTTTTTTTAAGTTTTGAAATCAAGCCGTTTTTTTGTTTTTTTTCAGGTGTGAAAAGAATCTTCATATCAACCATGAAGTGCTTTATTGTTATTGGTAGGTAGAGTGAGTTGGTCAAACGTGAACTTTTTACTTTTACAAACAATTTATTAGTATTCGTAATCGTCTGTTGGATTATGTTGGTTGAAACATTTAGCGATAAAACAGCTGTGTTTTAAGGGTTACTGATATTTTTAACAATACAATATCTCTTCTAGGTTGCCTCTTCCTGATTGCTGCTGTTGCCTTACCTCGGGTAAGTCTTCCTTATAATGGGTATGGCTACTATTGCCTTACCTAGGATAAGTCAACATTATAATTGTTTAAATATTATATTAAACCCCGAGTGTTGAGTCATGTAAATCTTGTTTGTCTAATTTCAATTTATCAGTGTGAACGATTTTGTTTTTAGTAGATTATCCAAAGGTAACTTTCGCATCGAATTAGCAGTATATTGTGGGTGTTTGCAAAAGTTTCGTAGAAAATTATTGATATTATTGTTACAGGCAAAACGTGCGGCTTACGACCTTCCACCTGGAGCCGAATTACTTGTCGGACCAATCAAAACTACCTTCTCCTGTGTTGGTCTTCACTCGGGGTACTACGCTGATGTCGACAACAACTGTCAGATCTTCCACATCTGCCACCCACAAACTCTCCCTGACGGAACCGTAGAAGTTGGACATTGGAGCTTCTTCTGTGGTAACCAGACCGTCTTCAACCAGATGAGCTTCACCTGTGCTTTCCCAGAGGAGGCCGTGCCTTGTAGAAACGCTCCTGATTTCTACTATCTTAACAACAACATCGGGAATGAGAATGCTCCCTTCCTGACAGACGATGACGTAGCTAGAGCTTATGCAGCCATCAGATCACAGTAAACTCTTCTTCTTTGCCAGTCCTGCATGTGATATCGTATTAAGAGTTTCAATATAAGGAAAAACTACAGCAAAGCAGAAGTAAGCACCACGAGGCTTCACAGATTAAAACAAAAGTCCTGCTAATGTTGTATATAAGCCTAACTCTCAATACTGGACTTGTCCGATACAACAAAACTACATGTAAAATGTACACCGTGGCTATGTCACCAGTGTAAAAAGAGTATAAATTAAATGCGTCATGTCCAATCCAAGAAATTACACATGAGATTTAAGAACTGGTCATACCACTAGTTCAAGAAGAATACATGTGAAATGTACCACACGATAAAAAGACTACTGGAACATATCACCAAAGTTATAAAATAAAATAAATCCGGCAGCAAATTCGATAATAATAGCTAAACTGTTTTATAATAAAACAATTTATGAGCATTTCAGATCTCTTCAGGATGTTCAACCCATTCAATTTTAGCCTATAAATTAAAGTGGCAACCCTATCCAGAAACAGATGCCAGATAATATATACATTGGTACAATAGCACCACTCTCAAAGCATAGGACGAAACGTTGAATTTAATGTATGATATTAGATGTTTAGGTAATACAGATAAATTTCAACGTAACAAAGTCAACTTTGATTTATAATTTAAATGATATTTAGATATATTCCGATTAAGGGAGGCGCAGATCGATATTTTCTACGGATTTTTTTTTTGGGGGGGGGAGATATTCTGACATTGACGTCTTACTGAACAATATATTGTTATTGTTCTTACTGGGGATCTGGTTAAATAATATGAATAATCGGATAATATTTTACCAGTGAGTAGTTCAGGTCATAATGAGTCTAGAGCCAGTTCTGTTTGTTGTAATTGTGTAACAATTATAATACAGAATAATGAGTCTAGAGCCAGTTCTGTTTGACTCATTATTCTGTATTCTAGAGCCAGTTCTGTTTGTTGTAATTGTGTACCAATTATAATACAGAATAATGAGTCTAGAGCCAGTTCTGTTTGTTGTAATTGTGTGTCAATTATAATACAGAATAATGAGTCTAGAGCCAGTTCTGTTAGTTGTAATTGTGTATCAATTATAACACAGAATAATGAGTCTAGAGCCAGTTCTGTTTGTTGTAATTGTGTATCAATTATAATACAGAATAATTAGTCTAGAGCCAGTTCTGTTTGTTGTAATTGTGTATCAATTATAATACAGAATAATGAGTCTAGAGCCAGTTCTGTTTGTTGTAATTGTGTATCAATTATAATACAGAATAATGAGTCTAGAGCCAGTTCTGTTTGTTGTAATTGTGT